CTACGCTTGCCCGTTGCCCGGATTTCTGAGTCAAATAAATTTTTGGCTGACCGAAAATTTTTTTCGTCATAGACCAACTTAGAAAGGTTCAAAACGCATATTAACGGAGATAGGTTTGGCTCAGGGGAATTTTAAAGCACATTTTCACATGGCTATCATAGCACTGAGCCGTATGCAAATGATTCCTTGCCCGTCTCGATTACTATAAATTACACTACGCTTGCCCGGATTTCAGAGTCAAGTAAAGCTAGGCTTGTCACTTAGAAAATTTTTGGCAGATCGAAAAAAAATTTTCGCCATAGACCAACTTAGAAAGGTTCAAAACGCATATTAACGGAGATAGGTTTGGCTAAGGGGAATTTTAAAGCACATTTTCACATGGCTATCATAGCACTGGGCCGTATGCAAATCAATCCTTGCCCGTCCCGATTACTATAAATACATGGCTATCATAGCACTGGGCCGTATGCAAATCAATCCTTGCCCGTCCCGATTACTATAAATTACACTACGCTTGGCCGGATTTCGGAGTCAAATAAAGCTAGGCTTGTCACTTAGAAAATTTTTGGCTGATCGAAAAAATTTTTTCGTCATAGATCAACTTAGAAAGGTTCAAAACGCATATTAACGGAGATAGGTTTGGCTAAGGGGAATTTTAAAGCACATTTGACATGGCTATCATAGCACTGAGCCGTATGCAAATCAATCCTTGCCCGTCCCGATTACTATAAATTACACTACGCTTGCCCGGATTTCGGAGTCAAATAAAGCTAGGCTTGTCACTTAGAAAATTTTTGGCTGATCGAAAAAATTTTTTCGTCATAGATCAACTTAGAAAGGTTCAAAACGCATATTAACGGAGATAGGTTTGGCTCAGGGAAATTTTAAAGCACATTTTCACATGGATATCATAGCACTGAGCCGTATGCAAATCAATCCTTGCCCGTCCCGATTACTATAAATTACACTACGCTTGCCCGTCCATTAATATAAATTACACTACGCTTGCCCGTTGCCCGGATTTCTGAGTCAAATAAATTTTTGGCTGACCGAAAAAATTTTTTCGTCATAGACCAACTTAGAAAGGTTCAAAACGCATATTAACGGAGATAGGTTTGGCTCAGGGCAATTTTAAAGCACATTTTCACATGGCTATCATAGCACTGAGCCGTATGCAAATGATTCCTTGCCCGTCTCTTTCAATATAAATTACACTACGCTTGGCCGGATTTCGGAGTCAAGTAAATCTAGACTTGACACTTAGAAAATTTTTGGCTTATCGAAAAAAATTTTTCGTCATAGACCGACTTAGAAAGGTTCAAAACGCATATTAACGGAGATAGGTTTGGCTCGGGGCAATTTTAAAGCATATTTTCACATGGCTATCATAGCACTGAGCCGTATGCAAATGATTTCTTGCCCGTCCCGATTACTATAAATTACACTACGCTTGCCCGTCCATTAATATAAATTACACTACGCTTGCCCGTTGCCCGGATTTCTGAGTCAAATAAATTTTTGGCTGACCGAAAATTTTTTTCGTCATAGACCAACTAAGAAAGGTTCAAAACGCATATTAACGGAGATAGGTTTGGCTCAGGGGAATTTTAAAGCACATTTGACATGGCTATCATAGCACTGAGCCGTATGCAAATCAATGCTTGCCCGTCCCGATTACTATAAATTACACTACGCTTGCCCGGATTTCGAAGTCAAATAAAGCTAGGCTTGTCACTTAGAAAATTTTTGGGTGATCGAAAAAAATTTTTCGTCACAGACCGACTTAGAAAGGTTCAAAACGCATATTAACGGAGATAGATTTGGCTCAGGGGAATTTTAAAGCACATTTTCACATGGCTATCATAGCACTGAGCCGTATGCAAATCAATCCTTGCCCGTCGCGATTACTATAAATTACACTACGCTTGCCCGTCCATTAATATAAATTACACTACGCTTGCCCGTTGGCCGGATTTCTGAGTCAAATAATTTTTTGGCTGACCGAAAAAAATTTTTCGTCATAGACCAACTTAGAAAGGTTCAAAACGCATATTAACGGAGATAGGTTTGGCTCAGGGGAATTTTAAAGCACATTTTCACATGGCTGTCATAGCACTGAGCCGTATGCAAATGATCCTTGCCCGTCCTATTTAATATAAATTACACTACGCTTGCCCGGATTTCGGAGTCAAGTAAAGCTAGGCTTGAGACTTAGAAAATTTTTGGCTGATCGAAAAAATTTTTTCGTCATAGACCGACTTAGAAAGGTTCAAAACGCATATTAACGGAGATAGGTTTGGCTCAGGGGAATTTTAAAGCACATTTTCACATGGCTATCATAGCACTGAGCCGTATGCAAATGATCCTTGCCCGTCTCGATTACTATAAATTACACTACGCTTGCCCGGATTTCGGAGTCAAATAAAGCTAGGCTTGTCACTTAGAAAATTTTTGGCTGATCGAAAAAATTGTTTCGTCATAGACCGACTTAGAAAGGTTCAAAACGCATATTAACCGAGATAGGTTTGGCTCAGGGGAATTTTAAAGCACATTTTCACATGGCTATCATAGCACTGAGCCGTATGCAAATGATTCCTTGCCCATCCCGATTACTATAGATTACACTACGCTTGCCCGTCCATTAATATAAATTACACTACGCTTGCCCGTTGCCCGGATTTCTGAGTCAAATAAATTTTTGGCTGACCGAAAAAATTTTTTCGTCATAGACCAACTTAGAAAGGTTCAAAACGCATATTAACGGAGATAGGTTTGGCTCAGGGGAATTTTAAAGCACATTTGACATAGCCATCATAGCACTGAGCCGTATGCAAATCAATCCTTGCCCGTCCCGATTACTATAAATTACACTACGCTTGCCCGGATTTCGAAGTCAAATAAAGCTAGGCTTGTCACTTAGAAAATTTTTGGCTGATCGAAAAAAAATTTTCGTCATAGATCAACTTAGAAAGGTTCAAAACGCATATTAACGGAGATAGGTTTGGCTCAGGGAAATTTTAAAGCACATTTTCACATGGCTATCATAGCACTGAGCCGTATGCAAATCAATCCTTGCCCGTCCCGATTACTGTAAATTACACTACGCTTGCCCGTCCATTAATATAAATTACACTACGCTTGCCCGTTGCCCGGATTTCTGAGTCAAATAAATTTTTGGCTGACCGAAAAATTTTTTTCCTCATAGACCAACTTAGAAAGGTTCAAAACGCATATTAACGGAGATAGGTTTGGCTCAAAGGAATTTTAAAGCACATTTTCACATGGCTATCATAGCACTGGGCCGTATGCAAATCAATCCTTGCCCGTCCCGATTACTATAAATTACACTACGCTTGCCCGGATTTCGGAGTCAACTAAAGCTAGGCTTGTCACTTAGAAAATTTTTGGCTGATCGAAAAAAATTTTTCGTCATAGATCAACTTAGAAAGGTTCAAAACGCATATTAACGGAGATAGGTTTGGCTCAGGGGAATTTTAAAGCACATTTGACATGGCTATCATACCACTGAGCCGTATGTAAATCAATCCTTGCCCGTCCCGATTACTATAAATTACACTACGCTTGCCCGGATTTCGAAGTCAAATAAAGCTAGGCTTGTCACTTAGAAAATTTTTGGCTGATCGAAAAAAATTTTTCCTCATAGATCAACTTACAAAGGTTCAAAACGCATATTAACGGAGATAGGTTTGGCTCAGGGGAATTTTAAAGCACATTTGACAAGGCTATCATACCACTGAGCCGTATGCAAATCAATCCTTGCCCGTCCCAATTACTATAAATTACACTACGCTTGCCCGTCCATTAATATAAATTACACTACGCTTGCCCGTTGCCCGGATTTCTGAGTCAAATAATTTTTTGGCTGACCGAAAAAAATTTTTCGTCATACACCAACTTAGAAAGGTTCAAAACGCATATTAACGGAGATAGGTTTGGCTCGGGGGAATTTTAAAGCACATTTTCACATGGCTATCATAGCACTGAGCCGTATGCAAATGATTCCTTGCCCGTCCCGATTCCTATAAATTACACTACGCTTGCCCGGATTTCGCAGTCATATAAAACTAGGGTTGGCACTTAGAAAATTTTTGGCTGATCGAAAAAAATTTTTCGTCATAGATCAACTTAGAAAGGTTCAAAACGCATATTAACGGAGATAGGTTTGGCTCAGGGAAATTTTAAAGCACATTTTCACATGGCTATCATAGCACTGAGCCGTATGCAAATCAATCCTTGCCCGTCCCGATTACTATAAATTACACTACGCTTGCCCGGATTTCGTAGTCAAATAAAGCTAGGAGTGTCACTTAGAAAATTTTTGGCTGATCGAAAAATTTTTTTCGTCATAGACCGACTTAGAAAGGTTCAAAACGCATATTAACGGAGATAGGTTTGGCTCAGAGGAATTTTAAAGCACATTTTCACATTGCTATCATAGCACTGAGCCGTATGCAAATCAATCCTTGCCCGTCTCGATTACTATAAATTACACTAGCTTGCCCGTTGCCCAGCTTACGGAGTCAAATAAAGCTAGGCTTGTCACTTAGAAAATTTTTTGCTGATCGAAAAAATTTTTTCGTCATAGACCGACTTAGAAAGGTTCAAAACGCATATTAACGGAGATAGGTTTGGCTCAGGGGAATTTTAAAGCACATTTGACATGGCTATCATACCACTGAGCCGTATGTAAATCAATCCTTGCCCGTCCCGATTACTATAAATTACACTACGCTTGCCCGGATTTCGAAGTCAAATAAAGCTAGGCTTGTCACTTCGAAAATTTTTGGCTGATCGAAAAAAATTTTTCCTCATAGATCAACTTAGAAAGGTTCAAAACGCATATTAACCGAGATAGGTTTGGCTCAGGGAAATTTTAAAGCACATTGTCACATGGCTATCATAGCACTGAGCCGTATGCAAATCAATCCTTGCCCGTCCCGATTACTATAAATTACACTACGCTTGCCCGTCCATTAATATAAATTACACTACGCTTGCCCGTTGCCCGGATTTCTGAGTCAAATAAATTTTTGGCTGACCGAAAAAATTTTTTCGTCATAGACGAACTTAGAAAGGTTCAAAACGCATATTAACGGAGATAGGTTTGGCTCAGGGAAATTTTAAAGCACATTTGACATGGCTATCATAGCACTGAGCCGTA